GGAGCACCTCTCTCTGGTTCTCACACCTCCGAAGCTTCACTGACCTTCAACCCAATCCAAGTTTTTAACAAACCCAAAACCCGGCACTAAGCTTGTACGAAAACGAAGTTTTTGCCAGACAGTCAGTCCTAGGTTCAGCTGAGAGCACACTGAACCATCTTCAAAATGTCCTCTTAATATAAGAGTCTGTGTTCGAAGCGCCACTTATTACTGTGCAAAAATATATTTCGGAGAGGGTTTTAAGCCCGCTGGTTTTGCCCGGGAAGAAAACACCCCCAGCGGGACCCCAGTAGTACCTCCAGGGTGGTCGTCAGCAAAGAGGAGGACAGTGGCGAGTAAAGGAGGGATGGGCAACGATCGCTTTCTTCCAAAATAAAATGTTTTAATAACATGAAAATAACAAACAAAAAACACCTGAGGCAGGCACTGAAACAGCACCCACCCCAGGGGAGAAGCGAAAGAGCATGTGGCCTTGGGGCCAGGGATTTTTAACAGGTAGGTAGGTGGGTTTACAAAGGCGTTGTCCTGTAAGGATACACGGATGGGTTACCGACAGGTCAGGGGTGTCCTGGTTCCGTGTAAAAAGGGGTTCAGGGCAGGACCCACACGGAACAGAACTATGTACTCGCCTCTCCCCCACCCCCTCGAGAGAGAGAGAGAGACACTTTTAAAAAAAATGAAGTATATTGTTCAACAAGGAACAGAAAATGAAAAAGGGGGGTAAGGAAAATAATATATATAAAGATCAGGGGAATAATACAAAAGATAAAATATACAAAACCCTCAGAAATGGTTCCAGGGTCCCACGGAGTGAAAGGAGAACTTTCCTCTCTGAGCTCCAAGGCAGGAGTGAAACAAAAAACCACTCCCTGCCTCTTATCAGAGTGTGTGTGGGAAGGGGAGGGAATACAATGGTTTCACCCCCACCTGGGGTCCTCCCAGTTGCTGGAAGGTCACGCCCCCATTCCAAGCCTCAAACCACAACAAGGGGTCCAGTGGGTGTTAGGGGATTGGTCTTGTGGTGGCTAAGCCAACCACAACCTGGGAAAGGTGGAAAATTCTGGATGTGTGCCCATGTTTGGGGACAAAGAGGCAACAGAAACCTCTGTCTCCAGAAGGTGCACTGCAACATAAACGCTTTTTAAAAGGGTTGGTTTTTTTTTCAAATCTGAGCAAAGATAAAATTCTTAACACTAGCAGACATTCACTTCTGAATCATAGAATGTAGTGGGGACTGTAATTTCAGACAGAGCCACGTTTTGTTTTACATGCTCATTATTGAAAACTAATTCAAATTATGAGGATGCCACATAGAAGATCTCTGCAAAATGTCAGATCAACTTGAAGAAATATCCAGGATTGTATTTCCATATAAAAAATTCCTTTTACTTAGGTGGTAATTTGGATGGATGAAGCACTGGGAGCAGAGAGATGCAGAAAAATCTCCTATATAATCTTTTCTGAAGCTATGAACCTAAGACCAGTTAGAAACTGAAGTCATCAGCTCTCCACTTGTATTTTAGGAACTGTCTTCCAGTATCTGTCAAACCTGTCCCCATAACAGGAAAACATGCTAGGCAAGCTTACTGGTCAAAGGCTCGAGATCTGTCCATATGTATCTATAACCAAGTGCATCTGCTCTCAGAGAACCCTCCCAGGACTGGCAGTGGAACAAAGTACAGAGCAGTTTATAGAAGTACCATGATAGCAATGCAGAACTACCATTAAGAAACTTGCTTGTAGCATGCAGTGCAATCATTCTTAAGCTTGCAAAGCTAGCTCAAAATGGTATTGAAACTCTTTCCAAAAAAGAGTAAAACTTTGATATTTGTATTCCATCAGCCTGCTACACAGCAGGAGATGGTCCTCAGCTTGTCAGAGCAGAGGTAAGCAATGATCCTGGAGCTAATAGAATTGACTTGGAAGAGTCTTCAATAGTTCACACAAAGAAAAAACGTGAAGGTTGGTATCTCATAGACCAACCTACATAAAGGGCTGCTGATGATCAGAGTGTAGAGAGGGAGATGAGGCAGAAGACTGTGTGTGAATCCTGTAGCTTACACAGCTGCACATCAGATGGCAATGTCAGCAGGAAAACCAACAAAGTGTGTGACTAGAGTTTGAGCTGTATTAGCTGCCATACAGAACAGCACAGCTTTTGCTTCTCATAAGATCACATACAAGGGAGAGTAAGCCTGAGCACAGACCCCTTACAGTGATGACTTATGGCAAAGGTAAGACAAAGGAGACATTTTTGGTAACAGGGAACACTGAGACCACTTTCCTCAACCTATTTATGAACTGCTGGCCATTTAAATAATGTAGAAACCACTACCACTTGGCAGTAAAGCAACTTGCCCACTATCATTAACTGCAGCAGAGGTAGAAATCAAAATAGTGTCCACAAGCTGTTAAACATAGTAACCTGTTTTGGAAGGAAATAAGGCATGCTCACTACAAAGTAACAGTTTCTCCAATAAGATCTGGGGATATTTTTTTTCCTTCTCCTCTTTTTCTCCCTCCTTCCCCAAGCAATAGAAAAAAAAATATTTTAGTCTTAAAAAACCTGACAGTGCATGCATTACTACAAAATTGTTTATTCCCACTAGGAGGGCCATTAGTTTTAAAATCTCTCTCATTAGAGTCCCCTCTCAAGGAGAGATTTTCGTTTTGTGTTAGGTATGTAACAGTTATATTGGCCTTCTACACAGCCTGTCATTTCTGAATTATTTATTGGGTACAGACTGCTAAATAGAAAATTAAATTCCTTTAATTGGTTTTGCTTAATTTGCAACTCCGGTCAGGTTGGTCTCCACAAATAAATGCTGTCTGAGACTTATTTATGAGATTATTGTGTCTTATTTTAGAAGTTACTTTTGCCCTGAGATTATTTTGGGTTTATGCAAGTAAAGCACCTCCTTTCGCCACATACTTGCCATATATACTCAATACTCCTCTAAGTTGTCACAACATGTTGTAGGAAAAGGAAAAGATCTGACCCAGAATGGCATTTCTGCCATAAACAGCAGTGATTTACTGAGGTCTTTTTTCACTGACTCATTCACCTTACAGCTTAGCTTCTTACTGCCTCACAAATCAGAGCAAATTTTCCCCAACTCTGCACACAAAGCCTCTGTCAGATTACTAGGTCTTATATACCCAGCAGGTAATTATGGTGTAAATTTTACATAGGAGAAATGCATTAACTTCAGTATAACTTCTCAGCAGTCACCTGTTGGATACATATTATGGCAAAGAACCCCATTTATGCATTATTTCATTAATTTATTGTGTTAGTTTTCAGTCTGTACCATGAATAATCTGAACAAGTCTTTCTGCATTTCTTCCATTTCTCCTAGATATTGATGAATGTGCTGAAAATGTTTGTGCTCAACTCTGTGTAAACTCTCCAGGAAGTTATAGCTGCTATTGTGATGGCAAGAAAGGGTTCAAACTCTCTAAGGACAGGAAGAATTGTGAGGTAAAATTGCTCTATGTAAAATTCCATGCAGAAAAAAATCACAAAATCGGATATTTCTTAATGATGGGGTAAGTTAGATTAAGGAAGACAAGAGAAGGTGCCAGGGACTCTGAGCTTTGCTTTGGCTCACAAAGCAGACCCAGTAGGGGTTTTGATGCCATTCAGTTCGTGAAGGCTCATTTGCAGGAATCGTGCCAAGAGAAGCTTGTCTTGCCCAGTCATCTTTATTCCTTACTGCTTCCAAAATAAGCTTCAGGTTTTTCCTATCAAAGAAATCATTCCTGTTTAGCTTACTCAGAGCCAAAATATTCCATTTGTCTGTATGTTTCCAGATTTTCCTTTGATTGCTCAAAAGTTTTCTCTCTTTCAGAATCACTCTGTGCTTTGCCTGTTTGGGTTGAAAAAATTGGATTGCTTTCCACAGTTCTCATCTGCCATAGCCTAAGGAAAAGCAGTTAGTAGTACATGCCAGTTGAAGAACATCTCACAGCCAAAATTGGCCATTCTTGTTCAGTTTGAAAGTTTACCCATCTTAGTAGCAGAAAGTTTGAAACTCTGGAGAATACCAGTTTGAGGACTTTCTTATGGGTGGTTCTCTGTATAATTTGATAGCATGACAAGTTTCAGCCTGCCTGAACGTAAGTGCACTCAGATAACTGCCAACAAAAGCACACCTCTAACACAGCATAACAAAATTTGGCTTAAACTGTAGGAACAAGTTCTGACAAGTTCTAGCATGTATGTATTAGATTTTGTTTGTACTTTGTGTAATTTAATATCTGAACACTTACAGTCATTATATTTCATTTTGCTTATTCACGAAATAAGATCATCCTCTAGCCTCATTACACATTTTCAATATTGTTGTTCAAAAGTAATGAACTCTATCTGGAAGTTAGTTTCAGGCTTTTTAATTGGAAAAAAAACTGATAGTTTAATCAGATGAAAATATATACAGTCTAAAGACTAGTGACATTAGCAGACAGAAGATGAAGCAGCCATAAAATTCAGGATGGACAACTGTGCATTTAGTGGAACTGCTTCACCGTGAATGCAGAAAGTCTGGGAACTGCATTGTTAGCTTCTACCAAAGTACAGCATGTCTTGAGAACAGAAAAGCCCTTCACAGTTACTCTTGATTGTTCCCTTCTGTAGGACTACTCTATTGCCATCTTACAGAAGATAGAGGCAAGGGCTGGTTTAAGGGATAACTTTATATCAAAAAAAGTAATTTAAGCTCTGAGACATGCTCTAAGCCACATTCTCGAAGAGTCTTCCGACCTTTCCCCACATGCAGAGCCTAGTTCCCCTACACGTACACAAAATCTGAGTGATTTACTTTTAAAACAAATCTGTAGATACTATTTTCATTTTAACATCAGTTTCAGAAGTCAAGGGATTCAGCAGTGCCTTAGAACGGATATGTGACATTTGTTTACTGAACATTTTACTAATTTAAACTTAACACCACACATAAAAACATGTAAATCCAGGAATAATAACTTATTTTGTTTAAAACTTCAGGTAGATAAATACCTGAAAGAAAAAGCACCATTTCCCCCCGCCCCCCCATTGCAACTACAGTTGACCAACTGTAATTACTCACGTTGACTTTGGGTAGAGCATCAGGATTAGTCCCAGTTTTACATACTGTTGTAGGCCTTTAAGTTACCATAGATCCTTAGAAGTTCTTTTACAGTTTTCCTGAGAATGTACTCTTAAGAACTTCATATCCCTACTAACAGTTCTCAAAAATATTAATTCAGTGCTATTACAGCAGAAATTGTAGTGTTGATTTTGTCAACATTCCTTTCCAGAGCTCAAGTAGGACAAGTACATTCAAGAAACAGCCAGAGAGCAATATTTTCCATTCCTTTCTAACATGCTTAGATTCCAGACAAATTGAATAATGTAGCCTGGCAGGACCTTAGTAGGTAGGTGTCACAGGTCCCTGGCGAAAGTAAAGTGCCTCATGGAAGATCTGAATGCTCGATTCAAATGCTCAATAATTAAATACTAGTTGCAATGCACTAGAACTGTTTTTCAACAGCTTAAACAAAGGGCATTTCGAGCAAAACCAAAAAACACACTCCATCAGTACACAGGTATTCAAGTTTAAAAAAAGGAAAAAGAACCCACCAAATGTAATCCATTGCTTTTAAAAACCAGACAAGCTAATAGCCAACAGTAGAAGTTGCTTCATGAATTACCACAGTGCATTAACAACTTTTTTTACTCTCTACCATTTTCAGTCTGTTACTGCGTGTATCCCACTGAACCTTGAAAAGAATTATGAACTGCTTTACCTGGCAGAGCAATTTATAGGAATTCCTGTTCTGTACTTGAAGTTTAAATTGCCAAACGTCACGAGGTGAGCTTTTGCTATTGATAAAAGTATGAATTGAAACTAAATCCTTCTGAGGGTTTAGAAGGAGTGCAACACATGCTTAAATTACCGTATCACTGTCTCCCCAGTGGCTAAGATATCTTTATATGGAGAAAAAATTAACTCAGGTTCCTACATATAGTAGCACTTAGAAGAAGCTGGAGTCACTTGAAAGTGGACAGGCAAGAGTAATGTGTCTGGAGTCAGTTTACAAAATCTCTTGTCAGTTTTACCACGTCCTTGAACCACCTCATCTGTATAGACAGCAGCTCTCTTGCACAGCAAAACCAAAAGCTTCCTCCAGATACCTCAGAAGCATGCAGGAGGCAGCAGCTGTTCTGTCCCAGCCAGGACGCAGCACACAGCTGGGGCAAGACTTCCACCACTGGCATTCCAGTGTCATCCCATCCATGAATTACAGGGCTGGAGTCTTCCAGCCATTACAGTCCCGGTTACCAGTGCTGGCGCAGGGACAGCTGGATGGGCTGGGAGAAGGAGTTCCAAGAGATATAGACTTGAATGGACAAAGAAGAGGATTGAGGTCAGTAAGTGTAACAGGCCCATTGGTTTGTGGACAAGAGAGTAAAAGGGTCGGTGCTTCCTCAGGACAGAAGCTTACCTTTCCTCAGAAAGAGCGAGCAGGGCCTGAGGAACATGGGAGGCAGTGATACAGGTACAAGAAGGCATTTAGAATTCTCAACATAAGTTTCAGGTGTTCTAGTTAAAAAAAATACTATACAGCTTCCAGTTCTGTCTGGGATTGGCTTCTGTTTGCATGCTGCTGGTACTTCATTTGCATTTTGGGTAGAAGTTGTAACATTCTACACACACACTCCTGAGAAACAAAACTAGGCCAGTGCTTCTCTGCCCTGCGCTTCCTTTCACAGGGTGTTCCAAGGACACCAACAGCACAGTACCTTGTCTAAAGCACCATCTGTATGACTTCCTTTACAGCTGTCAGAACAATTGCTAAATGCTAGTGACCCCTTTATTACTCTTGGACTTCACTGCAGCAGCTGAAATTACAGTGTTCCTTGACTTACTGACCAAACAATTGGAAGGTAACAGCAGCAGCAGCTGTTGAGCTGTTGATCCCCAGAGCCTCAGAACCTTGCAGAAGGACATAAATATTGAGAATTTTTCCTCTGTCACTATGATGACCAGGTGTTAGTGCTCTCCTGAAAGACCTTTCTAAGATGATAAATGTCTGAACTTCTCTTAATAGCCTCTGTGTAAACACAGAATGATTTTTCTGTGGGTCTGCATGAGACAATGACATCTAGTGGACAAAGAACAAGACTGACAGTGAAAGTGACCCAGGTTCTTAATTACATCTCCCTTACTTGTTTCTATTGTTGTCTTCAGCAAATCCTAACTTAAAAAGCTTTGTTTTCTCCTTTCATCTTTAATCTATTTTACCTAGTTCAAAAATTTCAGGAGACAGGGACTGTTTTTCACTATGCTGAAAAGAGCTGAAAAACTCTCTTCCACTGAATAGGTACTATAATGTAAACCATAACTTTGCTACATACACATGTTCAACAGACTGCCAAGATCCAGACAACAAACTTTTGAATTAGAGAATGACATATAAAAGGCAGCAGTAACCAAAGCAAATTCCTAGGTTATAAAAGTTGCAGAACAACACTTGGCAACGCAGTTGTACTGAAGCACATCATAGATCATGTATTTTTTCCATATCACATCTCCACAAAATGCAATAGGAATATTGTATCCATCTTACTCAAAGGGGTGTGATATCCTGCATATGTAGAGCTCATAGAAGATTTGGTAAGTAAACCAAGGCTCTTTCAAATCCCAGCTCGGGGTATTAATCTCAAAACTTTTCACTGGATTCAGATGAATAAGGCTTACATTAGATTCCGCTTTTGACTATTTGTGTGCAAATATCACAACTGCTCAGATACAGAGGTACCAAAAGGTTAATATCTATGACCTTTCCTCTCCCCCATTCATGAGTTATCCTAGGCTATACAGCATTTCATGATTTCTGTCTTCTTAATTAACATTCCTTCTTCACAACTCAGATTTACAGCAGAATTTGATTTCCGGACATATGATGCAGAGGGAGTTATATTATATGCAGAATCCCTTGACAACTCTGCATGGATCTTGCTTGCTCTTCGTGGTGGGAAGATTGAAATTCAATTCAAGAATGAATTTGGAACAAAAGTCACCAGTGGAGGCAAAGCCATTAATGATGGACTGTGGCATATAGTAAGCTGGGTTTTCTTCTCCCCTTTCCTTCCTTTAATATCTGCTATGGTAATATTCTGTCTTAAGTAAAGTAGGGAGAAACTAAGGAACTGTTAAAAAGGCTTAAAATGATGTCCTGAAATCTCAGGTTTTAAAATCAACCAAGAAATGCACAAGAATGCCTTACGTCATGGCACCTGTTTGCTGTTGAGAAAGATGTAATTACTACTAACTGTCAACCTTGTAATTATTCTTAGTAATCATGAAAAAGGAAGCAAGAGAATATTAAAAAGTGTGACTGCATGGATACTTTGTCCAGAGAGCAACTTTTACATTCACTAGACCAGAAATATGTCTTGTGGTTCAAGTTTGCATACCTAAGATGGAAAGCCTTGCTCACTTACAGCATCTATAAATGACACCAAGTTGTTAACAGCAGTTCTGTTTTTAAGTGCATAAAGCAAACAGATCAGCTGCGTGGATTTTCCCAGGGGTAGGATAGGGATGGAGTGGAAGATCATCCTCCTATGTCCATGGATATGGAGAGTTGTCATGATTCGAGTTGAAACATACTGTAGATATTGACTGCATTAAAACTATTCTATAAGTCAGGTGGTTCAAGAAACATTAGTAATGCTTCATACAGGTATAAGCAATTAGTATTTTATATAAACACACAAACATGTATTTATGTAACTATTTGTATTAATTCCAGATATCGGTTGAAGAGCTCGAACACAGCATCAGTGTAAAAATAGCTAAAGAAGCTGTGATGAGTATTAACAGCCCAGGAACCCTTTTTAAACAATCACAGGGTTTCTTGGAGACCAAAGTGTACATTGCAGGATTACCTCGCAAAGTGGGCAATGCTCTTGTCAAACAGGTAACTAAAATAATAATGTTGATTAATAGTGTTCTGTTATTTGTTTTATATTGTTTACTGAATAGTCACAGAGGAAGGAAGAGTGGCACAGAATCCATTTAGAGAACGAAAATCAGGTTATTAAACCACTGTTTTGCAAATAAATATGCAAAAAGCTTTGTAGTCTGTCTTCAGTTACGTTTCAGTTGTAAACACACAGCACTTACAGCCTAATCTTTCAGAATTCTGTAACCTGTTTCCTACTATAGCTTTAAGATGCCCTAAATCACCCCCACTTCTGCTGCAAGAGGGTTTCAGAATGAGTCATGTTTCTGATGCTAGCTTTTGCTTGGCTCTGAACAGGTACAGAACTCACTGTGCAATCAGGACAATGAGCTTTCATTTTTGCTAGGTTTTATAATAGCCCAAGCTAAACAAGGCCCATGATTCTCTCAGTCTTCAATCCTCAGCAGCTCTGTCTTTTGCTGGGGATGGGTACCATCACCAGTTCTTGTGACTGTCTGCTTCGCAATCCAGGAGCCCTCAAGCTAATTTGCAACTTAAACCTAAAAATAACTCTACAGTAGAGGCTGCAGGTTTTGGGTTTTTTTTGTTGTTTTGTTTTTTTTTTAATAAAATCAATTTTTTCTCAAAAGCAAAACAGAGGGAAAAATACGATGAACAGAACAACATGCCCTTACCCACTAGAAAGTAATTCCATAAGTTTCTTTATGCTTTGGTACAAGGAGAAGATGAAACCTTGGCAAGGAACAGTGTTAGTGATCATTGTCTTTCAGCTACAGAAAAGCTCTCAGGACCCAAACAGAAGGACAACATGAGCTTTACAGATTGAAGCAATCTGTTTTGTACAGATCACTAGCATCAAAATGGGAAATGTTATTTAAATCAGAAATACTTTCTGATGGCTGAGGTACTAAATGCATGCCATTTGTTTTCTTCCAACATCCATGCTGTATCCCACAGCATTGATAAGGCTATTATTTGCTACCCAGAAATAGGTCAATATGTAAAGTAATGCCTTGTTATTAACATTTTGCGTTTAAAGTTGTTTTAAAACAACACCTAGTGCTATAATTCTTCTGCAGATTAATCCTCGTCTAGATGGGTGCATTCGTGCCTGGAATCTGATGAATCAGGGTCACTCAGGTGTGAAAGAAGTTATTCAAGAAAAACAAAGCAAACACTGTTTAGTATCAGTGGGGAGAGGATCCTTCTACCCTGGCACTGGTGTGGCAACATTTCAGATAAACTATAGTAAGTATTTTTCTGTCTGTTCCTCTATTTTTGTTGGACACGTGATGGAACTGATGAATTGGTAAAAAAAAAAAAATGAAAAAAGGAAAAAGAAAGAACCACTCAAACTAAGCTGTACACCCCTGCATCCAGCAACAACTCCCATAACTTCTATCAGAAATTTGCTGGCATGAGAATTCTGATCCCATTGGTGTTACCCATTTAGCATCTGAAGTGCTTTATATTAGGAAGTGAATTCTTCATTTGCAAAGGATGAGCACTGTTGAACACATTCACTGCCCAAAGATCTAATTCTGTCCCCTGCTCATCAGTGGGGAAAGCTGTTATATTACTGACAGAAAAAGAGGATTTGGGATAAATAAGAAGATCACTGACAGTTTTGTGTATGCAATTCTGCTTCTAAACAAAACGTTCTGTCTAGAGGTTTTAGGTGTATCTCTTAATCCTTCCTGAACCCAGAACTTTCTTGCCTGACCTCCTGCCCCAATTTCAAACTTTCCAATCTAGAATCTCCTTGTGCACATCTGAGTGCCCAAAATTAAACATCTCTTGAGCATCATCCCAAATCCTTTTGTCATTATACCCCTCTGTATCCCAAATGCTATGCTCCCCTTTACCCCTGCCCTGACCCCAATCCTTTTCACCCCAGGATTTGCAATTCTTTCCCAGGCCTTTTCTTTAAGTTCCCTAGCCCACTTCAGAAGATTTCTCCAGCTTTTTATATGCTATACTTCCAACCCTGTTCTACTAGAAGCTCCTATGCCCCTGAAGTTTCTACAACTTCCCTTCTATTCATTTGCTAACACCATGCTGCCATCATTCCTCCTTACCTCTGTGTTTGGGGCTGCTGCCACCAGGATTTCACCCCCTCTCCTTTCTATCCACACACTCCACACCCCAAATCTGAGAGGCTGCCCTCACCTCCTGCTGCCTTTCCCTGAGCTTTTACAGCCCACTGTCTCACTGCTCATTAGGCTTTATGTAGGAATATAATCTCACCTCATATTTTAGGATTTCTGCTTCCTCAAGAAACTACAAGATTTGACTGGGATGTGGGGAGGTGGGGAAGAGGCACTGGAAGAAAAGAGACAAGGGATGACAACTACCTCTTTAAATAGTTATTTTTATATTAGCTTCACTATGAATACATCATATGAAATGATATGTGTCTCATCTGCATATTTAATTCATACACCTGCATATTCCCATTCTAATAGTGGAACTGCTTTGGAATGTAAAAGTTTATGAGAAATGCCCATCTCCTGCTCAGTAGCAGCAATTTATGAATAAATTGGGGTTTTGGGTTTAATTTGGAACTGACCTCTAATAAATGTAGTACCTGCTCCACATTAGAATGGAGAAGGTAGCAAATTAAAAAAAGCCCAATAAGCACAGGTTAGGGAAGATGCAAAACTAGAAGTTTTCCTTTTAGTTAGATTTTTTCTTTTAATCTTTTCTTTTAATTAGATTAGTACTAATTTTTTCCAGAGTTGGGAGCAGATGAAATATTAATTTTTAACAACATATTAATTTTTCATTAACAGATTGATTTATTAATTTCAATTATTCTTTTTAAAACAGATAATCTTGACAGTCCTGAAGACTGGCTAATAAACGTGACTATGACTATTCGCCCATCCACAGACACTGGTGTTATGTTTGCCTTGGTTTCTAATGAAACAGTGCCTCTTGCTTTGTCCATAGTGGACTCTAACTCCTCTGACTCACAGGTGACCTCACAATTGTCATAGCAGCTGATATGCATACAAGTCACATCTCTTAGTTTTGTCTCACTTTACTTACTATACCATTTGTGAAAAATTAAACTAAAAAAAAAAAGCTATTCACACTTAGTTGCAGTGGAGCTGGTAGGCTGAATTAATATTTTGAAAAGCACTTAGATCAGAGTGACATGCAGAAAATATATTACTATTAATGATTGCAATAGCAGTGGCAAAACCACTTATGTCAGGTAGTATCCATTACATCACGTTGTCTTTATCCTTTCCTTCCAAACACACCAAGAAGAAAGGGGAATATAACACAAGTAGAATGATGATGATATAGTAATTGCATCATGCTAGTTTCAGTCTATAAGCAGATGGTTTTGTCCATAGGTTTCCATTTACATCTGTTTAGGTCAGGCATCTCAGGTAACACACCATAGCTAATCCAGGCTTTTGTCCAAAGTAAGAACCTGTAGCAAATGCTTGGTTCTTTGAAACTGTAGCAGTACTCCTTTTGCCTCTAAGAGAAACAGGATTTCACCTCAGAACCATAGCCAAAGATTTTTTTGTTTACAGTGAACAGTCTCACTTATAAATTTAAGCATATAAATGAATAGTATTCATCACCAAAGGTGATGATCATACATCAACTTTGATAACTTTTCCAATTTAAGGTACCAGTTTTCAAAATGTGGCTCTAACATATCAATTTCTTCTACTTTTAAGTGTAAAGTGCATCAGAATTAAGCATAATATGCATTAAAGTTGTATGTGACTTCTTTTGTGACCTACAATTCTTCCATTTAGAAAATCATTGTGACCATTGGAAACTCCACTGTTGCACATCTGGAATCAAAGAAGTTGTGTACACCCAGGAAAGTGCTGGTTGGACTTCTGGTAACCAAACAGCAGCTTGAACTCTCTGTTGATTCCCACACAGACAGAAGCAATTCAGAGCAACTGTCTATCCTGCATCAAGCTATGATGGCAAACGTTGTTACCTATTTGGGCGGCCTGCCAGGTGAATTCTATTTATTTTCATCCATTTTATTGTTTGTACAAGCTGGATTATATTCAGTTTTACCCAAGCTAGAAAAAAAACTACAACTGAAAAAAAACCCAAAAACAAAACAGCTTTTTTTTTTTCCTCAAGTGCTTCTTATTTCATCCAGTTTATTCAGCTCTTTGAGAGAGCCTGATTTTCAACAGTAGCATTATTAGACCCATGAAAAGGCATGAGTGTGTCTCTAGAGATTTGAATTTGGAAAACATCCTGATTTTTGAGCTGAGGAGTGAGCATTGTGTATTTCTGAAATGCCACCAGCTGGCACAATGTAGGAACTGCATCAAGCATGCAAGAAAACCAGGCACTTGTAAGTAAAGTGCCAGAAGTGCAAAAGGAGAAATCAGGATTATGATTTCAGCAATTAAACTCTGAGCAACAGATGACTGGCAATCTTTGCTATAGAAAATGTGTTAAAATGGCAAATATTTTGTTTAAGGCAAGCCAAAAGTGTACCTCCAGTCTTAAGACAAGTACAAGCATTATTTTGTACATAAAGTGTACACATGCTTTTCTATAAAATGGTTTGACTTCAGGGTGAATCATGAAATAAGAGTACCGCCACACAGATGAGGCAGTTTAAAAACCTAGATACTCAAACCTGAAAATTAGTGCAGGGAGGACACCACAATTACAGTGTTACTGCTAGCAGAGCTTTTCTGTATAATCTGCTGAAGTTACTTTTAGGGACAATAAGTCACAATCCCTAAGGAAACTAGAGGATTTTGACCAACCCACTGTTGAACTGGCATCCATGGTACAGGTAGGCTGCAGTGTCACAGCACTGCCCCAGGTATAGCTTCTGCAGGGGACCAGGGGGCACAGCAGTAGAAAGAGGGGAGGAACAGTGTATCCATTGGAGATGATCTCTTTAGGTATTTCTTCCAAGGTCGCATAGACAGAGGAAAATGGAGTTATGGTTCTACCCTCTAGACTTGCTTGTCAGAATAGAAGGAAGGCATTTAGGGCAGCACCACAAGTACCACAACCTCTGTCTGAAATGGTGGTTGCCTCAGTATCCAGGCCCATATGTTGGAATTGTTCTCTACAAGTCTTCATAGACAGGTAATCAAGGACATAACAAGATTTAGGCAGCTAATGATGATGTTTTCTTCTCCAATTCTGTTTTCAACGGATATGCAATATTTTGGAAACCACATAACAAGGTGAGTTCAATTTATATTGAATGTGTAGAATAAGAATGCACTAATGGTGCAGTGCTGTCACATACCACAACAGCTAAGCATCAGTGTTTTTTTTAATACCTGGTCACTTTTAAAAGAAGTGAAGTTAGTATTTACTTAGTAGAGGGGAGTCAGCAGTTTAACTGAGTCATAGTAACTTAGATTCTGATAATTTTTAGACCTCTTCACCTTTGTGATATGTAAATGATTCTTTCTAGTACATTGCCAGCCATAGAGTAAATGACAGCTTATGAGCAAAGACCTTGGCTTCAGTCACACATCCCAAATAGAAAAGATTAGTTACTTGCTACTCCTTAAGTCATCTCTCAGTTTTAAAAGGTATCTTCAACATGCAAATTAAAAAAAAAATAAAAATCTGTATGCATAAAGAATTTCTGCTTAGAGGTCTCAATAAAGCAACAAGAAACCCATGTTACCCAAAGGAGCCTCTTCCACAACAGCCTCTGCTACCAGAGAAAGAAAAAGTAATACAGGAAAACTACTTTACATCTCCCTGTACAGCCAGTTTGGCAACAGCGACGCATTTACTCACTCTAGCACACCCCTGAAACACCTCTGGGGTTACTGGGCAGTATGGAAAGGTAGGTAAGGATCCCTGCACTGAGCTACAGTATGCAGAACTATGCAGTTAAAGGCACCTAACAAAAAAAACTGTATTTCATAAAGAGTGGAGGTCCCCACTTTTGATACACATTTCTTCAGACTAGCAACAGTGTTGGGAGCGTGCTTCTTTGTCAGCACAGTCAGTTCAGACTAGATGAGACTTGCACAGTTCTATGACAGCAGTGTTATCATCAATGGAGTAAAAAGAGCATAAGGACACTCGATTCTACAGGACTGTTTGTGCAGTACCTCAGCTTACAGCAAAGCACAAGGAGGTAACATTTCTTGTTCCCCAGACAAATCTGTCTTCTACGAGGGATAGGACGTTTGACATAAAAAAAAAAAAAAGATGCTCATGCAATCAGCTTCTAGGGATCCTCATTCTAGTTGCTGAAGGTACTTGGGTCAGCTTATGTCTACCTTGTAATAATCTGGTTGTACCCTGAGACCTCAGAGCAATGCCTGCTTCATTTTGTGCTTAACATGTTTTCTGGAAGCACATCCATGATCTGATGTTGCCATAACCCAAACAATACCAGAATGAGCAACAGATCAAGTGAGTTCTTTACAGAGAATTCACTTCAAAGCAGCAGTAAGGAAGCAGTAAAATATGTGGAGTTCCCAGGTGTCCCCTGTCTAAGAACTTGCAGATTTCAATCCAGAGTAAGTTTCTGGCAAAAGCAAGATGGTTCTTTCTGTGACCTCTAAACCCAGAAACATCTGTTTGTAGGTCAGGACAAGAACAGTGGGCTCCAGGAAACAAACTGTTGGTTCACTGTTGTGAATTTCACAGGAAGTGCTACTATGAAAAACATTCAGGTGGTTAGGTTTCTGAATGGGAACACACTTCTAACGCACACTTCAAATGTTCCTGACCTTATCTCAATCTTAAAGAAAAGGCAGGAGAACTTGAGTGTTTACTGCCAAATTGCTCTTTTCTCCTGTGACTGACTAATGGATGGGGAATGAAGTATTGCCTGTGTTTTTGCTAATCTGAAAAATGCATAAGAATTTGCATGCCTCGGCCTAACAAATTGAATGTGTTTCTGTGCAGATGTTCCTGTGGGTGCTACATTAGTAACAGCGTTTTATAATGGCTGCATGGAGGTGAAGGTCAACAACAGACAGCTGGATCTGGATGAAGCCATTTCTAAACACAATGACATTAGATCTCACTCGTGCCCACTGATTATGCAGTAGCCATTCAATTCTTAATTTAACATTTTTCTTTCAGATAGAGTTTGTGCAATTAGTCTGTTGTCATAATGAAGCCTGTATTATTTTATTCAAATGTGCCAGGAAAATAATCAACAGCATGTTTTTCCTCCCTTATCAATAGAATGGTGGAAAAAAAATGCCCTCTCTTCAACTGTAAAGGGACAATCAAGATCAAAGTTCTGTAAAATGTTATTTTATTCATATCAAGGATAAATCTTAAAGCTAGATTTATCCTCCATGTTCATAATATGTCCTTGATGTATTTAGCTTGGAGAGAAAGTTCAGGAAGGTCTGTTTAGAATCAATTTAACTGCTTATTTTTCAAGTTACAAGTTGCAAATTTTGGTAATATATTTGAATCTAAACAAAATACATCTCATTATATTTTTCCAAGCATAACAAAAAAAATCTTTACAGGTTTTTGTAACGTGCTTTTAGTAAAGGAAAAAAATACCCCAGAATCCAGAGCCCAAGCTTTCTGTGGATATGTTTACAAGTTGTGTCAGTATTGGTAAAGCGACTTCAAAACTGAGATAAGTAGCTCAATTTTTGAAAATAGCTCATCACACTGTACCAGCTTTAATTCTTCTATCATAGGAACCAAGCTTTAGACATTTAACAGCTTTCTGGATCAGGTAAGGTAAGTTACCTTCAAAGTGGGTTAAAATACACCCTTGGCAATTTTGGGAAATGGAGGAGATGGCTTGAAAAGGGAGTTCTGATCTTCATCACAGGACATCAAACTAGAATTTGCCAAGTAAAGCAGAGAACGGCAGCAAACATTACTCCCATTCGTGACAAATCCTTAATTCCTCAATATGAGCAATCTCTAATGGTCCATCATATTCTCTTTATTTAGGTTGACCTTCCATTCCCAGAGCCCCAGAAGAGATTTATTTGTGAGCCCTGTTGCAATTTTGTTTCTGATGTACTCGAAAGCCTAAGTTTTGTTAGTAACATCAGAATGTAAAGCCATATTTTGCTCAGCCAACTTTAATGGAACGGGTAATTAGAAGAGTATTGTTTTCCTCAGGTGTGCTCATTTCAAGCATTTCTAATATTTAATATTTTTTTAACATGCTTTGAGTGTTCTTTCCCCTTCCAACCTCATTTTCTCATGATCAGAAGCCTCCCCGTGCAGCTCACCTAGTGGTTTTTTTAACCCCAAATGAAATAAATAGCGAGAGAATTGCTGTAAGTGGTGAATTTATACCTTCATCCATCAACCAGAGAGACATTTGTCTGCCAGGATTCTTGACCTGAGGTTTGCTTCCTTCGCTAGAGACACTGAAGGGGAAATGTATGTACAGAAGGATGGATTGTGACCGTATTCATTCTGAGGATTGCATTTCTCCAGAGACACTCCCGGTGACATTAGAGAGGTTTCTTTCATTGCTGAGTGCTAACATCAGTACGTCGGTATTGCAGGCCCTGAGCCCATCTGTCAACATTATTGCCCTGTCTGAGGCGATGGTTAGCACCACGTCCCACCCCTGTACCGTAGCAGGGGGTTTGTTCTGGCTCTCACCCCAGCCAGCCTCAGCAGTCCCCAGATCTGCCCGGCACTGCACGGCTGACGCCCTGGGGCTGGCTGCCAGTTCACTACTGGTTATCTTCCCTAGCATGGCATTAAAAAAAGCTTTGATTTTTCCAGACCTAATGGAGGGTGTGGGGTAGGGGTGAATAACTGCAGGAGAGCATCTCTCCCACCCACACACACACGTTCTTTATTTGGGCCTAAGATGAAGTATAACTTGACTGAAATAAGCTGGTTTTGTATGCAAGGCAGAGATGGCTTTGGACTTTCGATATCAAATACACGTGATCATTTATAGTATCTCAGCAGCACCCACTGAATTCTGGAAAGCCCTTGGGTCAGTCCCTACCGTGTACAACAAACACAGAAATGATGAGATGAGGAGCACAAGGTAAAGCCTCAGCAATACTCTAAAGGCTTATGTTGGCCTATACAAAAAGAAGAGACATGTTGGATATTTTGATTTTTTTTTTGTGTGTGTTTTTTTTTTTTTTTTCTTTAGGCTTAGTTTAAGTGTAATAAACGGTATAGAGATTAAATGAAAGAAAAAAAAAACCCTTCATTTTCTCACAGGCACCATTTTTTTTTGTTTTCATGGAATAGTATTTTAGGGTTTTGTAGTTATAATGAAACCTCTGTACTTTTTTTTTAATGTAAAAGTGCCTCCCTGTTGTAAGAATTAAAGCAGTATTTGCAAGTTTCTTTTCATTTTCAGTTGTATTTGCGTATCTTTGTTAATTTTCACTGTGAAAAACTTGTCCTAGTGGTCAAATGGCTTATGCAGGAGATTGTGATAATCTTCAGCAGAGAAAAGAATTGGCTCAAATTAATATGCTATCCAAATAGACATCCATATTCTCTAGATAAAGTTTATTAATTGTTTAATATTGCTTAAGGAAATTAAGCTTTGCTTAAAACCACGTGGAAGAAGGGAAATCAATGAAAATTATTGATTCCTATCTTTTCTCTTTCATCAGATGTATTCCACTGTATTTCTAGGCATAATCTTTTCATCAAGGGCCATTCAGTGTTTCTACAGAACAGCTGGACCTGCTCTGTGCTTTTTCAGCTCCTGTGCTCCAAGTGTTCCTAATCAGTATGTCCTAGTTTCCTTCAAAATGAAATCTAGTCGTGGAATTGGTTCTCATTTATACTACAGCAGCTTCCTGGTTACATGCCTGATCCAAGCTTACTTCACGTTCTTTAACGCCTGTGTGTCTCCTGCCAGACTGAGTGCAAGCACCTTTGCTATTGGTACTTGAGATTACCTCTAGAGCTGTCACCTTTGAAGAAAGAGAGGCCAAACTCATTTTCAGTCATTCTAGTCCTGCTTATCACTGCATGCTCATCATTAGTCATTATGTACATGCTTAATAGTTTGTTACCTCAGCAACATCATTATTTCAAAATAACCACCCTAATTTGTGAGCAATTTCTTGTTTTTCTGTCAGGAAGAACAGTTGTGTACCAAAAAAAATAGATAAAAGGAAAACCATATCAGCTAATGCCACAGGGGTAAGTAAGGTGTTACTTTGTGAATAAAGAAAAATCCAAACAAGTGAGATACTCGGACTCTGGTTTTGTCCCACCTTCTTTTTCTGACCACAGTCCTGCTGCAGCAGTTCAAAGCTAAGTGACTTTGATTCCTGTCATTTTAGTTAGCTTACTACCTGATGTGTTGGTGCAAAAATACCACCAAGACAGAAACACTGTTGTACTGTCTTTGGAAATCAAAAGGAACATCTATGAAAAACTTAAACTGCCTGTGAAACTTTCACAGTAACAGGGTTTACTGTTCACATTTTTAGACAAATGCTTCCTATCCACAAAGTGACTGCATCTCCACTATTACACTGGGCACGTCCTTTTGCTCTAAGGGTAGCTGCCTTTCAGTAGGATTTTGTGAATAAGCAGCTCAATCATAAGCTGGTTCTAAGGGAACTAGGATGTTGCTTTTATGTACTTGAATCAATCAAGTGGTTGCAAATCAACACAGCTGTAAGTAATTCAGTACTTAAATATGTGGCATTAAAAAAAACTTGAGGATTTATTTTAAGGAATTTGTTGCATCTCAGCAAATTGGGAATGTGGAAAAAACACAAGTAACAAGAAACCAGTATCATGCAACCTACATTAGCAGAGCCACAGATTTCCCCATCCTCACCGTGGGAAACACAACAACATGCAAAGCAAAAAACACATCCTGCATCCTGCCCCCAGCACTTACGTACATTTTAGGAAAACTCAGACATGCAATGAAGCTTTCATACTGTTGGCATGATTAACTTTTCTATACACAAATTAACATAAAAACATCCTATGCAGCAATCCGTGGCAGCAGATTTTCAAAGTAGCATGGTGCTTTGTATCTTTTGATTACAGAAGCAGCAGAAACCCAATCCACCTTGGTGCACCAGCTCCTACCCGGTCTAGCTAAGCACCACTAAAGCCAAAAGCCAGATGCCAATTTGATCCAACAGATGTTTTCACCTTCTTTCCTCTCTCTTCTACTCTATGCCCTTCCAAACGCATAAACTCCTTTTTCAAAAAAAAAACAAAAGCAAACAAAAAAATCCAACAAAAACCCCACAGCTCACTTTTTGATGTCACTTTGAAATTTTACATCATCCATCATGGCAGCAGTTTCCTCAAAAGTCAAGGCTGTGTCTGTCTCTCCACCACCCACAGACCAGCTTTAAAAGTGCATGTGTTTGAACAGGCGTCCTCCCATGTGAACTGGAGTTTAAGCAAGGGCCTCAAGTTGCCCTTGAGTATCTCTCACTAGAAGAGTAACCCATCCCATGCCCCAGTTAAGAGGTAAACAAGCCCAAACACAACAATACACTACTCCCCAGTTACAAAAAGCCATATAATTACCTTTCGTAGAGACAGGGCCAGAATCAGCTTCATTCACCTCTGATCATATCAAACTCCTGCTGCTGCAACAGCAGTGGGGGAAGCATGGTTCAACAGCAATGCTGACAGGTAAACCAACGAGGTAGCAAGGGCCACAGAACTAGAGAACAATTCTTCTGGAGCTTACTAGTGGTTTTACTTATTATAGCAAAAATAAAATACTAGTTGAAAGGCCTTTAGTAGAACTAACTGTAAGACATACAGTAAGTTATATGCTAATTGTTGCAAGTTTTGGGTAGTACAGAAGATAGAAAACAAAAATGGCATTGCTTAAAACAACCCCCAACAAAGAACCATTCACATATAAAAGAGCCTATGTTTCTGTCCACCATTTATCAGTAGCTTACCTTTCTAGGAAAGGTTTTTCCTGTCCCTCAAGTACCAGTATGATTCTCATCAACCAAAATTATGTTTAAAAAAAAAAAAAAAAAAGTCACTGTTACAGCAAGGCTTCTTCTTCTCTAGCCTATCACAGAGTGATCATTCCCACCAGCTGGTCACAGACTCCTGCTAATGCAGGCCATTGAAAAGCAATCCCCTTTTTTAAATCTGGGTGGAAGCCAGCCGTTTGTTTAAAGGGTTTCTTCCTGAGCAGAATGTTATGTAATTTTAACAAACTTTTTTGCCTGGAAGAGGCAGACCCTCTCCTCTTGTAATTCATGACTTTACATTACCACACTGGGCAACAGAGGCATCAAGCAAGCTGTGCGGATGAACTGAAATTTGTGTCTTGGTGAAGGTTTATGCACGCTCTCACAATCCTTCAGAGGATTCATAAGTAGTT